ATACTCAAATACTATAAGGATACCTAATATATAAGCATACCTAAATACAATAAGGATATCTATATATATACATACCCAAATACTATAAGAATATTTTATATATAAGCATACCTTAATACTATAAAAATACCTGATTTATAATTCTTTAACCCTTTGATTTTATCACTGGTTAAGCAACAAAAACTTTATGGTTCTAATTAAAAACTTCATGGTTCCGATCAAAAAAAACTTTATGGTTCCGATCAAAAAAACTTTAAACTAGTTTGTTATCACTGCAATATCATGCTTGCATCAACTTAGAAAATAAGTTTATTTTATTACTTACGTTTTAAATTTCATTGCATTAAACAAGAAAAATCGTATCCGTTAGCGCAATGGTTTTACACTCTAAACCCGAATGGTTCTTTGAAGAACTTTTAAAGGTTCACAGCGCTTATGCCAATGGAGCACCGTTTTAGGTTCTTTAAAGAACCTTATAAATTGGTTCTTCGTAAGAACCCTCCGTAAAAGTTCTTTAAAGAACTACTTAAGGATCTTCGAAGAACTCTGCTACGGGTGCTCTATTTGAGCACCCGTTGAGGTTTTTCAAAGAACTTTTCTTACAGTTTCGTATAACTTGCCTTTAAAATGTTATTTTTAACATTTTGTGCTAAAAGACAGGCTAATTAATTCTCTCTAAAACCTTATTTAATTTGATAATTTAATAACTAAATGTAAATTTTTTACTATACTTACTTTTTACGCAAACTACTTTTAATTTTAATATACTCTGGTTTTTGTAGGAGATTTTAAAAAAAATAAAAATAAAGATAAATGCATTTCTATTGATTCTTTTTCTAATAACTATTTTATTTTATATAAACTATTTTATATATACAAAGCAAAACAACATTTAAAGAAATGTTTAATGTTTAATAAAAAATATAGCATAGATAATAAATCAATTTAATTTCTCATTCAAAGTATTAGCCATTCTAGTTATTGTAACTGGGCGTTCTTTAGATGACAATCCATAAACAATATGTTCATAAAACAATAACGTGTTTTTTAATTGCGCAGGATATTGAATATTATACTTATAATACGATGCAAAAACATACGACATCGCTAATGAAACATCAACATCGCTGCAATGCTCTATAATAACGCATCCATCCAAAATAACAAAATAATATTTTGTTATGAGCCTTTGTCTTTTTGGCATTTTGATAGTTGGCGTACTCTGCATGGGTTGCATGTACTCTGCATGGGTTGGTAATAAAGTAATGGCTGCATTCAATGTGGCATCTGTAATGTAACAAATCATTTATAAAATATTTTGCTAATGTAAAAATACAATACACAAGACCCCTCAAAATTAGGTAGAAAAAAGCTTATTATGTTGTTTAGATGGCATCAAGAGACTTATGTCCTTCAAATATGTTAAAAAAAAAGTTTAGTAAAAAATTTGACACAATCAGCAAAAACTTGACAACCTCAAAAACAGATCGGCAGTTAAGTCCCCATTGCCGAATGCAGATCCTAATTCTAAGGGTTGTTTAAGACATGATTTCATATGCAATTACTATTAGTAATTGAAACAAGGAGCGTCAAAATTTACTTTTACATTTTACTCATTACACATTTTATAAAATATTGTGACGCAAAAAAATGAAAATTACCTTTCTTCATTGAGTCATCTATTTCACACTCAATTTCTGCAGAAATTGCATTTACTTTATCATCTTCATGCTTCGATTTTACTAGTTGCATAGTTTTATCAGCCATTCCACCCATACATTGGTGGAGTTCTTTGTCAAGATTTTTGGCAAATCTTAATCTCATTTCATTAGAAACTTTAGAAAAAGAAAATAAGTTAAAAAGGTAAATCATCTATTTCATAGATCTATTTATTAATTAGTCATCTTTATTATTATCATAAAAAAAAATTTCCTAATAAAAACAAAACAAATGAAGTTTTACCATTCTTGTAACATTATTATCTAGTTGCAAAAGTGAGTTTAACCAAATAATTGTTTACCCTATATACATAACACTTTTAAAAATTTTATATAATGTAAAAAGGTTACTTATGTCAGACTTCCAAAAATATTTTGAGATAAAATTTATTTCTAAAAGAGAAGAAAAATAAGTAATAATAATAACTTATAACTTTATAAGTAGTGTAATGCAGAATTTAGACAGTAAAACATTATGGTTGTAAAAAAACTAAAAACAAACCAATCTAGCAATAGAGAGCCAAGGATAAGTAGATTTTAAATCGACTGTAAAACAAAAAACTCAAAACAAAACAAAAATTTGCACGAGTAGCACAAGTACGTTGCTGACGATCCAACAGGATGTTGATGTCTGGCCAGAGCTTATGGTATTTCATTTTCATGTCATAATGATGTTTTCCGATTAGAATCTAAAGCTGCATTTACTGAGGGAGGTAAAACAGGTAGTTCGTAACGTACTGGCCATGGTTTCATACTTTACAACACCCCAGCAATCATACTACCATCTTTATCACAAGATAATGACGATGTTATTGATGTATTTGAAGCGTCATTTTCAAAAACACTAATTAACATAATATTTCTATTACTATGTACTCTAACTACATTTTATTTTGGTAAAAAAAACAAAAAGATATCTAATATGATCTACTAATATCTATCAGTGATAAAAATCAGGTATGACTTAAAAAGTAATATGTATGCTAAAATGAAAATTAGTTTACGAAGAGCTAGTGCTCGCTTCTTGTTGTGCATGTGAAGTTTTAAGATTATTTATAACTTCAATGAGAACTACTTGTCTACGAATCGTCGGACATAAACTGGCCACCATTGTCTTAGTTAAAGACACCAGTGTTTTTCCTGTCAATTTCTTCCTCTTACAAAAATTAATAAAGGGTAATTTTTAAATTTTAAATTAATTCAAAAAAATAATTAATCATTTAGAGACGCAGCAGCTCTTAACAAAAATAACAAAATAAAGTTTGTATTTAAAATAAAATACAAACTTTATTTTGTTATTTTTGATTAAAATAAATCAATAAAAAGTAAAGCTAAATATTTGTATATATAATACATTTTGACAAGAAAAAAAAGTGTTCTAACAATGCTATCAAACTACAATATTGTTGTTAAAATAAAAATATAAAGAGATTTTATAAAAAACAACTGTATCTGGGTGTAATATAAGGGCACCCATACTGCAAAACATACGTATCTAGCAATTGGTGATCAAAAACATCTGTTTGTATGCATATTGTCAAATTCTTTCATTGACTCTGAAGTTCTAGCAATTGGTGATCAAAAACATCTGTTTGTATGCATATTGTCAAATTCTTTTCTTCAACGACTCTGAAGGCGTACAAGTGAGAGAAAAAAAAATATATATATGTTTTAAAACATCCTTGTATGTTTTATGCTTTTTAATTAATTTTTCTTTTACAAGAATACATAAATATATATTTTGAAGTCTTGATATATATTTATCTTCAATGTTACCCAGGATTGTTATTGTTATAAGTTAGCAAGGATTGGACTTCATTAGCTAAATTAATTTGCACAACAAATGGTATAGAATGCTTATCAGCTTTTCCGACAATAAACAAAGCTTGCTGCTGCAAGCTGCCTAGCAACTTGTCTAATGACATAGATAAATATGAGAACTACTGCTATTTGCAATGTAACATTCATTTGCATTGTTTTGATCATCACAATATTCTAAACATTTGTTTTCTAGTATATCAACAGTTGAAGTCGTTTGTTGACAATATAGATGAATAGTAAATTGTACTATGTTCAATTCGAATATGCTGACGCAAACATTTTACAGATTTATAGGATGCTGGGCAACCATCAATATTACATACTGCAAGATAACCAGCTGTGTGCTCATGCATAATATGCAAATGATCTAAATATTTTGGCATAGAATACTTATGTATACCACATGTGGATACTTATGTATACCACATGTGCATATAATATTTCTGCTTGCTGCCTTTACAAAATATTTTACGTTAATTTAAGTTAAAACTGACTTTACTAAGAAGTTCAAAAATAGTTATAATATGAAGAACTTAAAATAATAATCAAACCAGTAATTTTATGTCTTAATTCTGACAGTCCGTTTAACTCTAAATATCTGCAGACATCTTCTACACTCCAATTTAAATATTCTGCCATATCAAAAATCAACAAAACACTTCAAATTCCAATTTTTTTAAGATTCTAAATTTGTTTGATGCTTTTAACAAAATACCATTAAGCTAGGTAAACGTTAAACTGCAATAAACACGCGAGATGAAAAACAAAATGGCGTTTATATGAAGAACCCTTATTAAGGGTTCTTAAAAAACCTTAACAAAGAATCTTAAGAAAACACGAAGAACCCTATTACAATTCAGAAATTAGATCAAGAATCATACAACTGCGCGAAGAACCCGTTAGCTCGTAAAAGAACCCCAAATAAACTTAAAGAACCATTAGGTACTTCAAAGAACTCTCAAAGAACCATTTAGATTAAAAGTGTATTACTTACTTTAGAAGCAGGGTTCGAAGTG